ATAAAAAAAGAAAGAAAAAAAAAAAATAAAGAAGAATTGTACAAAACAGCGTACAAAAATCAAAAGTGGAAAAAAAAAAGGAACACATGTAAAAAACAAGTATTTTCTTTGGGATGACATTGCGGATGAAGTTTCATCAAAAAAAAAAAAAAAAAAAGTTTTCATCCTTTCCTTTATTTTATCTTCGATGCTCGCAATACGCTTTTTAAACGATAAAAAAAATATATATATATATGTAAAAAAATTAATAGCATCGTTGTGTGTTAATTCGAAGATTACGGTCATTGTGCCAACAGCCAGATCACGCCAGGACTTCCAGTCGAAAATCATTTATTGAATATAGAATTATCGATTCGAAGGGATGGGATCGTTTGAGGATTAAACTCTCAGCCTATGGACGAGGAATGGATATGTTACAGATGGAAAATATTCGTTTGAATATGGATTAATTTTCAGATGGATAAGAAAGGTATATCCAATTATCATCAAGTGGAAAATCAAGCGTTTCGATTTCCATGGAAATTATCTTTTTTGGGGGAGAAAACAGGCATTTAGGCATCCATTTGTTTGGATTTTCTCTAGGAAATCATTCTCTCGGGATGGAGATTAGTTTCAAGAGGATCCTATCCAGGTGCTTCTACGAAAGAGAGTATCGTCCCCCCTCCCCCCCCTTCGTCCGATTCTCGATAAGATCGCGATCCGTTCAATCGTTTTTTTTTTTTTTAAATCATATTTCTTTTCTTCTCTCTCAGGCCCGTTTCTCTCAACTGAATGCTGCATGGTTGATCAGGCCTTTCTTACACTCCTCGTGTCCAACAAAGCGCTCTTTTCAGCCGTTCTCTCTCAGCGTTATTTACAAGTACCACTTTCACAGCGACTCACGATCAAAACGTAAAAAAAAAAAAAAAAAGAAAAGAAGAGGAAAAAAAAAACAAAAATAACATACCAGCGACCAGTTCACTTCGATGATGTACAAAAAAGAAACAAGAAAAAAAAAAAATCGAGACATCTTTCGAACGTTTAACCTAATTCTTACTTAATTAGTCGCACAATTGTGTATCAAACGTGGCAAGATGCGATTATTCTACTATTCCTTCGAGCTCCTCGAAGATCCTTAATCTGATCTTTAATCCAGGATTTTATTCAACATTTTTTCCACGCGTGTCGTTAAAGCTTTCTTTAATCGCTCGAGCTGCCGCTAATTAGCAAAACTCGATGAAAAGCGACGACTGAATCCCAATTAGAGAGAGACTATTCGCGCTTTTGATTTGCAAATATTTCGTCGATATCGAAATCGATAGTTTTTCACGTATCGTTGACGAATTTCGTTTGGAATTTCTATTTTTTTTTTTTTGTTAAAAGTTATCACTAACGTTACTTGCATTCTCATTATCTTACATCGGAACATACGCGCGAAATATATTTAATAAATTTGAATAAGAAAAAAAATAGGAATTCCAGTTTCTACTTTCATCGAAGACCCGCCCTGCCCCATTTAAGCGATTGAGAAAACTGTACACGCGCGAGGAAACTCGAAGAATCCCCATTCTTTTCAAGGAAAGAGGGTACCCTTTTCTTTTTCCCTTCTCTCTCTCTCTCTCTGCGGAATTTCTCTCGACGTGTAATTTTTCTCCCGTTAATTTAATTTTCTCTCGTCGTCGTGTAACATCACGCGACGAGGATTAAACGCGTTTGAAATTGGGGACGAATCGATCGATAAAATTGGCAGACCTTCGAGGAGCAGGCCAATAGAGAGAGAGCAAACTCAATTATAGGAGATTTACGATTCCAAGTAGCCGGGAAGGCTTCTCGAATCGTGTCAGGCTTGGATCGGAAGTCGGTCGAGCGAGCTGGTCGGTGGCGTGCATCCGGCAACGTGTGTCTCAACGAGGACCCATCATACATATATATATACACATAAAATATTTATCAAACTGTTCTATATTCTACATACTCATCGTATTCACAGTATATATGTATATACATATGTATATATTTATATATACACAATATCAATCATACAGAAGTCTCTTATTTAAAAAAAAAAGAAAAGAAAAGGAAAGAAACAACCAAAAAAAAAAAAAAAAAAGAACAAGAAAAATAACGCACGTAAGAAGCGAGACGAGAGATTAAAATTAAAACAGTTTAAGAAAAATGGTTTGTCATGTAATACTAATAAATTATGTTGTTCAATCAAAGAGGGTGAAACGAGGGTGAAAGGGAAGAAGAGAGGAAGTAAAGATGCGACGAGAATAGGAGGAGGAGGAGAAGAAGAAAAAAAAAACAATTGGAAAAATATGATACAATCGAAACGAAATACGGGCAAATTTATGATAAGAACAAGTAATAAAGAAAAAGGGGGGAGGAAAAAAAAAAATGCAAAAAAGATATGCTTGGTAAAATGGTTTGTTCAAGTACCTCAGCGAGCGAGGTCACGCCGGCTAGAGCTGACTCTCTGTTCGTTCGGTTCGTTCAGGAGGAGACGTAACACGATTGGTAGTAGTAGTGGTAGTAGTAGTGGTAGTAGCGGTAGTAGTAGTAGTGGTAGACGATAGCGGTAGTAGTCGATAGTAGCTGACAGTGGTAGATAGCTGATTCGGTACTGGTAGTGGTAGTAACGTGTACGTATACGCGGCGTAGGGCGCTGGGTCGGCGATCGGCTTGCTCTAACTTGACGGCAGTAAGCAACACGAGAAATAATGTTACACACTTCAAGATCACATATGAAAAGAAGAATGAATTTTTTCTTTTTCTACTACTTTTTCTCTTTAATATTATTATCATTATCATTATCATTATCATTTTCCTTTATTAGTTTTTCTTATTTAAAGGGATTTAAGGGAGATTAATTTAGAAATTCTAAGCGCTTTTCTCTTCGAACAAGCTTTTTCCTTTCTTTCTAACCCTTGTACTTTTGACCTTAATGATCCATTTTTTTCTTCTTTTTTTTTTTATGTCTCAAGATCTCAATTTTAATTCTCTCTCTCTCTCTCT